AACAAACAAAAAACAACAACTTTAAAAGCATTTATTTTGACGACCATTACCTTATTGTTTTGCTTCACATATTAATATGTATTGTGCATTTTTGACATGTATCTAGTTCTATTTTTTGTTTATTTTTGTTCTATTTCGCATATTATTACGAACGTAGGAACACGTAAGAAAAATGAATATAATAAAACATTCTTGGGATTCTTGAGGACTCAATGAATATTTCTAAATTTTTCTGTTCTAATATTTGCTTTTAAATATTTTTTTTAAAACCGAACGATTTATAACATTCTAAGGCGATCCTTTGTATATAAACATTTTTAGTACTACACATGAATAAACCTGTTTTTATATGACGGTTTTCCGTGTGGCAATTGCAAGTCAAAAGCAGATGACATTTACCTCGACTGTAAGTGAAGATGTAATAAACAAACAACGGTACTTACCGTGGCTCTTGATTTAGTCGTCTTTTATTTAAAGTCTAATATTAATAACGGCTTTACGGAATGTAGGGTACTAACTAACCAATCAAAGACAAATAACCATCAGGTTCAGTCAGCGTTTTTAACGAAATTACAACGATGATTTAAAACGGCCTTTTGCTTTTCGCTTCACATTCTTATGATTATTCAAATGCTTAGAACATTATATAAGTACGGATAAACAAGAAAATATCATTTGCACTTTCCATATGCTTATAAAAAGTATGTTTGCATGACAAAGGGAATTCGGGCAACACAGTAAATGTAACAAATAATGAATTTTTTTTCGATCATATAATTAAACATGTATTTATTAACTATGATTTTGGTGAATACCAATGTCTGTGGACCTTGTTAATGTGGTTTTAACATCAATCGTTGGCGTCTGTGAATACCACATTAACAATTTTCAGAGACTGGACATTTATTCAATCATTATACACGTATATGTGTAATATATACTACGTTAGAGTTATATCATGAATTATACAATTATGTGAATTTGCTTAAGATTTGTTGAACTTTCTCTACCATGTCTACTGAAAATGTTCTTAAAGAAAATGTGGTATATTCTTTCTTACTCCATTTAAAATATGCTAGCAATGAAAAGTTATTTAATTTTATATTTAAAGGACTTAAACTAAAACAGAACATGTATTTGAAAAGCTTGTTTAACGTATTACACACTCAAAAAGAAATATGACTGTCTATCTTAAAAGAATTACAGTGTTTTACATTTATTTACTTTAATAATGCGTTCATGGATATTAACAATGTGACAAGCATACAACAGTGTCCAATTAAAATTGAATTAAATCAATATTGAAATGCTTTGAATATTCATTTTAATATGACACAAATGTCACAACGAATAACGACAGAATTGTCACAACGAATAACAAGATTCCTTTTTCTGTCGATCAATATTTGCTAACATGATAATATTTCTAAAATAAATATAAGCATTTCTAGAGAAGGATATGAATTGGAAATTGTCTACTAAAATTTCAATTAATGCAATAATTTCAACCAAGATGACATGATTTCGCAGTAAAATAATACCACATTATCAACGAGGAATTTCAGTTTACATAATAGTCGTGATAAAATAGATCGTAAATAATTTGTTCAGAGCAAAGAGGTTTTAAGCCGCTTGTTTGCTCGAGATTATTTTTAACACTGGAACACTGGTTGGAGTCATTACCGTCAATCAAGAAGCCAAGCTTGCAACATTTTCACTTCTGGTGTTGTGGAGGTTCTTTAACGGAGAAAGAAAACCATCTTATAATAAAAGGAGGGATTAAGTGGTTTATTTTTATCAGATATATAATCGTTGGCGCGACGTTATGTAGAAATTATTTTAACCTTTTAACTTTTTTCATGATGTATATTGTTCATCAGAATATTTTTTATACAGTTACTGCAAATGAATGTTTCCCCAATTTATTTCTGTCAGCTAAGTCCTTTCTGAGATTGCTTGACATTTACCATAAAATAAAAATGTTGCCGGCTCAGTTTTACTAAACGGTAACAAGCAATCATGTTTATTAATCTAGGGAATAAAAGGCAAACATGTGTTAATAAGGTCTTGATAATATATATAGAAAATGTTACATGCTTATCACTTGATGAAACCAGGGTTGAATATACATGTATATGATATGAAAATGTTCTTTAATATCAGATTGCAAGACAGTTTCTCTAGATGAAACTATAAAACCAATAAGAAAATAAAAGAACCTTAAAATTTCTCTTTACATGAGAATATCGTTATACAGTTTGATAATTTTCTTCCCAATAAAGAAAACATTTATTGTTATTAAATAACATGCCATAAAGCTTAAGATTGCATTATTGCATAAGTATAAATATAAAATAATAATTTGGCGAGTGTTGATGTAAACAGGGAATATTCAAGGATTATAAATAAAAATGTACGAGTGAAAATGAAAAACAATATGCCTGCACTGATAAGTTTCGATTTTTATTCACTCTTTATCTATGAAAACACAGATTGCTATAAACAAAACATACTACAACGTAAAAACCTAAAGGTACATGATATATGAATAAAACTAGCGTGTGTGCCACGAATGATTCAGACATTTAACATTCATATTCGTGAGTAAAACATTTAGTGTTAAGCTTTGAATACTCCTTACGCCGAGGCTAAGAGGCGTGAGGAATGTTGAAGATTCCATTATTTCTAATGAAGTCAATTTAATCAAGGCTGCCATTATAACCTTTGTTTTTATTTCAATTACTCTCGAGGAATATTCCCATTCAAGAGCATTTACAACAACTCGTTATTCTCGTATGTATTGTCGGATTGATCTGATTATTTGAAGCACAATAATTATAGTTGCATAAGGAGTTGTATTATACTATACAATTTTAATAAGTGTGATTTGTCCTGTTTTAATTCTGATTTTTAAGTTTAAACAATATAATAGATTTTGACTATAACAAGACACATATCCTAATAGATATTTGTAAATGTTCATTTTTAACCTATTTATATAAATGTAATACAAAACATGTGCTTAGTAAAAACAAGTTTCAATAGAAATTAAGAAGCTGAGAATGAAATATTTACCTTGACAATGTTTTAATTATAACAGAATGATATTAATGGAAAAAAGATAAGAACATCATTAATTATGAAATATTGATAATAAGCGTGTATTATATATTAAAACGGCATAGTGAGAGAACATTTCAGATACCAAAGGCAAGGTCTCTGGGGGATTAAATTGTTTACAGATAGGTTAATGAGAATTATGGACATTAAAAATGTCAATACGATGGTGATTAAGCGAATTGAATATCATTAAACTCAGTATTAATAAACAAATAAGCAAATGAAAATATTTTAAGGCAACTTTACTGAAGACATATTTTGAAATATGCATCCTATAAATAAAGTAGAAATCTTTTTTATATTAAACGCGTTTTGAGATGTTCTCGGTTAAGACGTTGTTGCAACCATTAATCGACTTATTTGCAGATATCCTTTCTCTAAATGACTATCTGTGCACCTTGAAGTTCTTCAAACTAATGACTAAAACTGTTGCTGACAGTATAGGTTCATACCGTTGATTAACAGGCTCAATCAAATCAAGCCAGCAACATTTTCAATTTTGAAGGTTTGTCGGTCTTTAGGGATCACGTTATTCCCTATGTTATGTCGTCCATACCCAACACCCAAACGAGTTTTGAATCATATTGTCATTCAATGTAAAGCTTAATATAATCTTATAAAATAATGTACTGTAGCATACAAAGAATACAACCGAATACATTATGATATAGCTATATTACAAATTATTTACAAAATATCATAAAAACATGAAATTAAAATTCATTATAAGTCTATGGACACACTACCAAAAGATGAGATGCATTTTGTATGTGCTTTTAAACAAGATATGTAAAACACTGTCTTAATTCTGATCTTTTAATGAAGTTTGCTTGTAAGCTTTGATTAATCTTTATGTTATTTTTTATTTATATCTGTCTCTGAATTTTCTTTGATAACACGCAGCATATTTAATTATGTAACTTTCAACACACAGCCAAACGCATGCACGCACACACACATGTTTGACTTAATTTTATCGTACGGTAGATCACTGTCCGCTAATATTAAGTATGATTTGCACAATATGTTTCTAAAATGAAAGATCTTATTGTATGTTCGTTCTGCTTCGTTTCTTTTCACATTTACAAATATTCAAACAGCTAACATTCCTACATATATTCAATGTAATTGAGAACAACTCGAAACAATTCAAAGGGGAGCATGTTAATAGCCCCTTGAACGGTTTACAACCCTATATGTATTATCCAATTGTGTTACTTTAAACAATATTATATTTGTAATCATTTCATTTAATATATAATAAAGTACATACATATAAATTTCACTGATTGAGATTATAACAGTTAAAAAAGTTTTTTTTAAAAACACTACATGGTTCAAATTTTTAAAAAATGTCCCTGAATTTAACCCAAAATTCAAAATGCTGTATGATCTCCAAGTAAAGGAATACGCGAGCGTGATATTATTATCATCAAGTAATATTATTAAGCTCTTGTTACTGTTTATCAGATTGTACGCAGGAATAAAACAGTAATAGGAATAAGTAACCAATCAATAATGAATTTTACAACAGCTATTCATATCCCTATATTAAACTTGCCGTATGTAATCCGCTACCATTTTGAGAAATGGTATTTGAAAAATGAGACATGTAATAAAACATAATTAAAGACGGGATTTTCTTTGACAACACAAGACATTATTTGTCACCTTTTGCAGATCCATTGTATCATGATAACATGCTTATATGGAATCCTTCACAAAACATGTACACGTAATATTGAGGACGAATCTCACATATTGATATTTAAAGTTATTTTGATTGTTTTACAGGTATTGTCATTGTATTGTTTCCTTATGACGTCATACTTTAATTTTCCTGAATCTGTTGCTACGTCTTCTTTACAAAAACGAAAGTTTTAACTAGGTGAGTTGTGTCCTTCCTTTAGTTTTTCCATCATGTAGAAGAAAACGTGACTCCATGTGTTTGAGACTTCCTTTGTAAACTTTTCTCCCATACATATTTCCCAGCGCCACATAAGCGCTTCGTAAAATACTTCAAAATATTCCGGAAGGAATCCAGAAAAATGTTTATGCTGCTGTCCAAGAACAAGTAATATCTTATTAAGCTCATCTTTGTCTGTTTCTTCATCATTCAAGCAATGAACTGCAGCACCTATTGCAAGTATAAATCTTTGTCCGTGTGCTCTAATTTGTTTGTTCTTTGAGAGTTCTGAATGTCTTACGTCTTCAACATGAAACAATTTCTTCACATCTGGACAGAGTTCAAATATTCTAAGGAACACTTGAAGTCCATTTTCAGCAAGATCCTTTGTCATGTATGTCCAAGTTTCTTTAACAATCCGTTTCTCTTTACATGTTAGATCATTTTGATTTAATTGTGATAAGGCTGCTGTAAGGTATTTTTTGTTATCCTCTTTGTAAACTTCTCCCCTTTTTGATGAGTGTACACATCCCATTTTAGAATTTCAACTAAATTTGAGCGTAACTATATAAACACTGCTTACAAAGTGAAATCCCTGACAGAAACTATCAGACTCTATTGTAACATGATTACGAAAGTAATTTTACATTTCCACCTATTCTACAACTTTGATCTTACTAATATCATATCACGTGACTATGTATTCGCGTCACAGTTGTTGAAATAATAGAATAAAATTCCAATACAAATAGAATTTCTCCTCTAGCAGCTGACAGATATTTAAGTGATGTTCACCTGTAACTAGATATTGATCAACACTGTTGGTATTTAATCTTTGCTTAATGATATTAGTAATAAACCACGGAACTTGAAATGCGTCATTTCTCATTTTCAAAATTCATTACATAATAAAGGCACATTATGGTTCAGAAAGGAATAATGTTTCATTCTTTAGAAAGGTCCATTATGAGTTTTCTAATAGTTAAATAACAGTTTTAAAGCATGTTACATGCTTTTCGAAAGAAGGTTAGTGCTGAATGTGAAATTATTTGTCATAAGAGTAACGAAATGTAAATAAAGTAGTATTTTGACGTTTTACGAAAGATCAAATTATTTTTAGTTGTACTAATTACCAAGAACAGCAACATAACAAAAGATAATTCGGAAAATTGGCCAATGTTTTACTTTTTGGAAACAATCACAGGACACCAAAAATTAAAAGCTTTTGAGAAATTCGAGAAGAAATGCGAAGAAAAATAAACATTCATTTTGCGGGCATAATGAACCTTTAATGTCTGGTTAATCATCAACAATATACCGAAACAGTGAGTATATGTATAAATCATATATATCATTATCTTGTTATTATTAAGCTTAGTAACGAAGCAATGTTTAAAATAGTAAAAAAAGCAAACATAATGGTGTCAATTTATATTATGTAATATCTCTCGTAATCAAAATACAATTAGGTAACAAAAATATATTTGCATTTGAACCTCGAGTTTTTTGCTAGTCAGTAATTTTTTCAATTATTGCAATAAGCCATTAACCGACGATATGATTACTATTGGAGAAGGAAAACATTTTCAACTATTACTGGAGTAGGAAAAATACTTTCATATGTAATAAGAGTAAGCAAAAGACTCTCAGCTGTTGTCGACGTAATCATCGTACACAGCCCCAATACAAAATCCAGTAACATTGTACCATCGGCACGGAACTCAACAACGAACAAGAGAGGTCAAAAAGACAAAGCAAAACCGAAGCCATGTAATAGTTACCATGCAAAATAATAATATTTTACAAATATAAAAACAAAAGTACACACAAAAATGATAAACATATGTTGCTAAACATAAATCTGTTTTACACGACTCAATCTTAAAGATATTGTTTCCAAGGCAATACAATGCAAAGCACCATATCACACTATAATGTACAATACGATATGTCATCTGGATTGAAAGGACAAAAGCCATTATTGAATAAAAGGAATTTTACTTAGTCCATAGTTTACAACATGTGTTTGTCATATGAACAAACAACCGTGCATATAAATTAAATAATTATCTATTCCGGACCCGACGAGCAGATTTTATTCACAAAAACTATTGTACTGTAGTCTGTAAAATTTCTTAGGTTGCATGATTTGGGCGAGGCTTTAACATTTACAATTAATCGATTTGTACAAACGATCAAAGACAGTGATATATCACTGTCTTCAGACCAAAATCACATAAACTTGGAAAGCCAATAGTCTGCCATTCGTATTAAAAATTTCCCTGCATTTCATTGTTTGCTTTCCCACTGATCAGACAGTTGTGGTAATAGTTTGTTGTTATCTCGCTATGATTGATGATACTAATAGTGGTACAATTTGTCTTCCCTTAACGTCATTGTTATGTATGTGGTTGAAACGGTGGAAACTGTATGCCAAAAGCGTCAAAAATGACAAAGAATGACACTTAAATACTCTGTACCGCACAAACTCTGTGTAAATGAAGAAAAAAGTTGAGGCGGGATGTGCTGGTAAATTTATCTGCCTAATGTTTCTGGAATTGATGACTCGAGTTTAAAAATTTCACATTAATAATAGTACTTGACAATTAACACAATATAAATTTATAAATATATGGATCTGCTTTTCACCCCTAAATTGTCGCCGTCAAAAGAGCAGTATACTTTAAGCATTTTCTTGGTATTAATAAAACAACAAACAATGATGTAGCGCTAGGCAAATGCGGTCGTTTACCATTATAATTATGTTGATTATGTTAAGTGATTTGTAAAATATTAGTGTTAACACCATATATATCCTAGACACTGTTATTTGATGCTTATTGACTCAGATGACGTTTGAAGACGTACATGAGCACACGAGGTTTGAGAAATTCTTTTTAAGTTTGGCTTTGGATTTGTATGGTTGTCAAAAGATGTCGATGATATCACCATATTTATAACTAAATTTAAACAGCGAGTATCTGGTTGTCTTACACAGGACTGGCATAATCATATCAGTAACTCTTCTAGATGTAATCATTAATAAGAGTTTAAATCCCTCTTAGATGTAGAGTTATACTTAAAATTGGATGTTGCATTTTACATTATGTAAAAGCTTTGCCGCCAAACAGTTGCTCGAGTAATAAACTGGGTATCGAACTTGGTAAACATATGGGGATACCTAGAGATAAAAGACTATGTACTTAGTGTAGCATCAGATACAGTAGTAGAAGATGAATTTCTTGTATTTTGTGAGTGCAAAAAGTATTCACAGGCAAGATATTTAAAGTTTGGTAAAATATTGCATAATACTTTAGATGTTTTTATGCTTACATGTTTACAAATAACAAACAAGAACTATTAAATATATGTAGGTTTATTCATACAATAGTAAAATGAATCATTTTGTATTACTATGTAAAAGCTGTACTGCTAAAATATTTTGGTACAGTGTCAATAACTGGTATCGCATATGTATTATAGGCTGATGGCCTTCCTATAAAACAAAATGTTATTATTATTATTATTATAATCATTATTATTATTACCATATAAAAAACTTGAAAAATAAATTTATAATAAAGCCTATATATTCATTAAATATGAAAATAAGATGATTTAGCTGTACATTAAACAACATGTTAAAACTGTATTAAAGATTAAAGATTTCGCCGTTTTCATGTTTGCTGTTTTTATTCGTCATGAGACGGTGCTGGTGGGCAATGAAGGCATATTGCATTTTAAATTTTGAAGTTTTGGGCATTTTGAAGATATTCCATTTTTGAGTATTCACAACAAGCTTGGCTCTACTTTCTATAAAGTTATAAACCCTTCCCCAATATGTACAATTATGAATAGTAGTTATGAAATAGGTGTATTGAGAAATAGTTTTGAAAGTATAATCATCACTGACATTATAATGTCATCATTTCCAATAAAACTCGTCTAGTTCTAACAAACTCCGAATAGCGTGCTTTAATATCTGCATGCAATTAAAATGTTGATACACAACGCACAGATGGTTTCCTAAGCTTTAACTTATAACTTTTGGTTTCTAGTCGTTAATGTTTTATTTCACCCTATTATTACTTTTGTTTTTTTTAAGTATTTTCTGGTTATATTAAATCTAAAAGCAGTAACTTCTCTTCGACCCTCAGTGAAGTTTTTTTTAATGTTCATGTTCCTAATTAAATTTAAAGCATAATGCCCCTAGATTCGTGCTTATTTTCACGACAGTTTTGTAAAAATGTATTTTTTTTATCAGAATTAAAGTAAAATATTGTATTTTATTAAATTGAACAAAGAAAGTAAAAAGAAAAGATAAAAAAAGAAAGAAAAGTGAGGAAAAATTGTGTAAACATAGCCTTTACTGCGCTAGTCAATATAGTATTTATTCGGGAATACGCACTTAATGTTTATATGCAGTAAAGCTAATGAAAATGTATTTGTTCTCCTTCCGCATTTTTAGATTTAGAAGTAACATAGAACTGAAACATAAACATACGAGCTTTGTAACAAGTCATGTACAGAAACAAATAGTTTCCCGATTAATAACTTTCACGTTAACATTATTACAAATATGTCTTTTAAAACTAACATAGTTCCCAAAATAGGTAATATATAGATATTATTGTAACAGATGTACAAGGCAGTAGACTATCATGAAAAACAATATAGCATTATGATAAAATTCTTCAAATATACTTCTCGAAATCAATCCTCTTGTTATTATAGAGGCTATTCGTTGCCAATAATCAAGCCTTGTTGATCTTAGTTGAACGGTTTGTTTGTGGACAAAATACAATTGTATATGTTTTTGTATGTAAACTTCAATGTTGCATTCTTTGATTGAGTTTGCCGATTTAACATTGTAAAAATGTATATTAACAAAATACATTTTGTTAAACGCCAAAACATTAATTGGTTTTTAGGAGTAGTCATCTTAACATGCGGTATACTTATTGTTCGTGTTTACGCCGACAAAACAGAAGTTACTTTCTAAGCTTTACAAATGTACATTGTCAAACCATTTTGATTCAAGCTTTACACATTTTGCAGTGAGAGATAAATAAGGTCCGCCCATTTCCCCGCCCACTACATCATCGTGAATAAATGTATTTAACCGCTCATTTTCGGTATTTCCCGCCAGCAACTGATTATCCCTCTGCGGTCTGAGATCACAAGGAAGCAAGAAAACAAGAACACGCACATTTCGAAATAAAAACATTTTTTAGCCTTTAAGGTGTTTGCAAATCATGACAGTTATTCGTTATGCACCAAACATAATTCAGTTGCCATTCTATGCCTATATTCAATCAACATTAGCGGCCTTTAAATGATTATAAGTTTGTAACTTGTAAATACCCTATTTCTTAGAAAAAATCTCAAAAGGTAACTGTCCCAATCCAACTTTTAATGGGGTTGTTTGAGGGTAAATACTTTTCTAGGAAGTTAAAATTATTGTTAAGACTATATGCAATATGCTTTATTAAAGACAAATAAACTTTATTGATAGGATTCCAATTTGCACAGAAA